AAAAAAAAATTGCAAAAGCTTTCTAGTAAAGAAAGTGTCTTATCAGTCCTGTTGTCTATGTGAGAGAACAGAAGGGACAGCTGTCCCCAGCCCTCAACTGGACAGCCCCTCCACACACCTCTACAGCGACTTGAGCCTCAGAAAGGACAAATGGAAAATGGAAGTCACACATGGGGCAGAATGTACAAAGAAAATGCCCGAGAGACTCTGCTGCTTCTGCTATACTTCAAAATTATTCCTGTCCTGGTCTTTCCCCCACAGCAGACGCAGGACAAATAGCTTAGCACAAAATAGATTCCAGACCATGCAGACACCAGGAGGTGGAACAGTGCCACCTGGAGGCCACCATCAGAAGCACAGCAGGCTTCTTCCTCTGGTATTTGAGCAGAGACATGGATAAGCAAAGCCTTTGTCATGGGATCTCAAGCCCTCCTGGGGAGACAGATAACCAAGTAATATTAATTAAAATACTCTAAAATTAACCACCCATGAGAGGAAAGGCCTTCCTTTCCTCTCATCCTCTGGATGCTCACCACATGTTCAGGGTTCAAAGGTCACTCTGAAGTTCCAGCAGAAAGGATCCACCAGACTGAGCCCCGCCCTCATGTCCAGCTTTCACACTGTCTTCCAGCCTCAGTGAACTGTCCACTGTGATCCCAAACATGCAGTTTCACATCTCCCTCTGAACCAGAGCCTTTACCCCACGGGCTGCCCCTGCCCCACATCCTCTAAGTCTGTCCTTGACCTCTGCATCTCAACCCAAGTGGGTTCCACCACTCCTTCCCACATTCTAATGCAGACTGCCAACTCTGCTATTAAAGTGTTTATTCACACTGTACTGCAGTTTGTTTTAGATTTTTCTGCCCAACTGATCTAGTTCCTCCAGGGACAGAATTATTTCTTATTTATTTTTTACTTCTCATTACATTAGATGTCCCTAATCACTATTTGTTGAGTTAATAAATACTTGTTTACAGCATCATCATGGAAGTTTGATGAAACTAGCCCAGAGTCCCAGCCTGCAGGGAGCAAGGAGAAAAGAAAACAGAGAAATTGCCTCCATTCACCAGCTGCATCAGCTACAATCTTCCTGCTTTTCCCATTATCTAAACCCATTATTCTAGATCTAACTCGAGACTCCCTCTGTGAATCCTCCAGTGAGCACTGAGGCTCCCTCCTCCGAGCCCCTGGTGTGCTTCCCCTTCTACTCTGCTCTGCTCTGCTGCTGGCTGTGTGGAGGCCCCACACATTGTGTGGAGGAAGATATGAGCTACCTCAGGACATGGAGCAGTCCATGAGAGCCTGAAGAGGGACCTAAACTAAAAAAGCCCTCAAAGGCTTACCTTTCAGTTTGCTACAGAGCCATCCAATGTGGAGCTCAGTTAACACGTGGTGAAGATTTCCTTCTTGGCCAAACTGTGCTCTGGCTCATCTGAGCCCTCATCTACACTAGGCCTTAATCTTGGCCTCATCCTTGATTTGCTGCTCTTAATTCTAGTAGGATATCATTCCATCCCCGATATCTGATCAAGTTCCTCTTTTTCCCCTGTGATAGTTAACAAGGGAGGCAACTTGGCTAGACCACGGCATGCCCAGATGTTTGGTAAAGCATTATTTCTGGGTGTCTATGAGGGTGTTTCTGAGATGGGCATTAGAACTGGCCCTCCCCAATGCAGGTGAGCATTATCAAATTCAATGAGGGTCCAGGTAGAACCAAAGGGGGAGGAGGGGGATTTGCTCTCTGCTTGACGATGGAGATGAGACACTGTTCTGCCTTAGACATTCCAGGCTCTCAGGCCTTCAGGTGTGGACTGGAATATATCCCAGCAGCTCTCCAAGTTGATGCCCTCAAGCTATAGCACTGCTTTTCCTGGATCTCCAAGCTTGCAGAGGAAGATTGTGGACTTCTCAGCCTCCATAATCATGTAAGCCAATACTTTATATTTAATCTCCTGATATGTTTTTTTTCTTATTAATCTGTCTTTTGTCAGTTTAATTTACAAGGTCCCCATTGGAAAGCCTAGGAGGGTAGGGGGAGGATTGTAATAACACCCCTACACTGGGCGTGGGGTAAAAGACAGAAGGAGGGAGATGGAATGAGAAAAAGAGAAGGAAGAAGTGGTGGTGAAAAAGGAAAGAAAGAAGGGAGAGAGAAGGGAAGAAGGAATCGGAGAGGGAGGGCTAGAGGAAGGAAGAGAGGGAGGGAAGGCAGAAGGGAAAGAGGGAGGAAGGAGGGAGGGAAGGCAGGAGGGCCAGCCTAAGGAACCTGCAGGTCAAGGTTTGCCGGCCTCCTCCTTTCCTCATGACCTAGGCGCCTTTGACAGACCTTCCTCGTAACAAGCATAGACAACAATTCAGGGACAAAGAACTTCAGGTGCCTGCAATTACAGGTTTCTAAAATAAACCCTGTAATTACTGAGCTGACACAGTCTGACTGTTGCAAGGAGACAGAAGTTCACCAGGGAATGGTAGCTTTATTATTCCCCAACTCAGGGGAAGTGATGCTTTCCCCAAAAGCCCTTCCCATCCCAATAGACACCACCACTACCATGTACCTCCTCCAGACCCCATCCAGGGGGCCAGCCACAGGTCAGTCAGAAAGGGAGGGAGGGCGCAGGGCTGTTTCTTCAAAGGACAACCACAGGAGGCTGCCATTGGTCTTTCAGAATCAGTCCTGAATTACGTCCTACCCCAGGTCTACACTTAATGCACTTTCCCTGAGAATCCCCCTTAAAGGTTCTAGCCTCTTCTTAAAGTCCAGCAGTTTTTTGCTCTCTGGGGCATCCAGGAGCATCCTCTGCAGTGTCTAAGTCACCAGCTCCTCTCCACACAGGCCCAAGGACAACTGCTTTCACAAACCCCTACAGTGGAACCTTAGTCCAGGATCTTGGGAGAGGATCCATGAGCTTCCACAGGAAGAAATCCCTAGGAAATCCATAAGACAATCATGCATTTTCCCCAAGGAGCCAGCAGGGAACTCACCGGCCCTCACAGAAGGTGATGCTCCACAGACTCAGCAGCACCGCGACCTTCTTGCCAGTCTCCCTCCACCTCTCTCTCCCTTCATCTAAACGTGCAAGGCACTGGGAGAGCAGAAGAAAGAGCTCCCTGGTCACTCCTGCTGACAAGAAAGAAGGGCTCATTGGAATAGACGGGTCACGGAATCCTGAGCAGGGCCTGGCACATTTGACTTCTCAGGAAGAAACTTTACCAAAATGCTTTAGAAAAAAAAGTGATACACTGCAGATGGGTGGGATGGACAGATGGCATTTTTTGTTGTTATGACCCATCTTCTTGTGCAAATCTGCTGTGCTTACCTGAGCTATGTACTGACTGATAAGGTTGTCGGTGTCGGTGTTCACCAGGCTGCCCAGGCAGAGCATTGAAAGTGTCCAATCACCAGACTCCCTCAATACCTCCCCACCCCACCCCACCCCACCTGTGTCTCACTGAACAATGTCTGATCAGGATCAAGCCCCTTCCAGCAGGTTCTCTGCAGGTGGTAACCACCTGAAGTGAAACCACCCAGAGGGAGGGCAACATCCATATCCCAGGGGCCACCATGAAGCCAGGACTTTGAGAAGACCCCCCCCCAGAGCCAGGGAAAAGAAGGAAGAAATCTTAGTTTGTTTTTGTTTTTTTTCAGCCATAGAGGTGGAATGGAGGTAAAGGAAGAAGAATGAGAAACAAGTTTATCAAAATCCTAGAGCTCTTCAGTTCTCTCTCCAGAAAGACACTTCTTAGACAAAAGTCAAGTCACAATTTTAAAGTGACTTTAAAGGAAATACAAAGACAAGAGGAAGTGCTCAGTTGGGCATCAGAGCTACTCTGTCCTGGGGCAGGTAGGTGGACTGGGCACTTCTGGTTTTTGAGACAGAAGGATGCACATGGACCATGATCCTGAGCTCATCTAAAGACCTTGAGTTCAGGCCTTGCCAGAGGGCTGCTGCTACCTTATGTGTGTGAATCACTTGGCTCACAGAGAGGGACTCCTGGGAAGATGAGGGAGATCCCCTCAGAAGGACTTAAGAAAACAAAACTATGTGGCAGACTGCAACTGACTTTGAGGAAATGACCCGATTTCCTAAAATTTCAGTTTTCAAAGGTTAAAATTCAAAGACACTACAGTTGAAAAAAAAACTTGCCATTTATTTCTTTAAATGAATTGATTCCTTAAAAGAGAGAAAATAATCGCCCTTGTGTATGAGGGGTACAATCCTAGACCTCCATGGAACCTAAAACCACAGATAGTACCCTTCCCTATGTACATACCAAGAAGGTTCACCTTTTCACTTAAATGAAGCAATTTCCAGTTTGGCATATCCAAAATGCCAGAATCACTACTCTTCTGTTTTGGGGCCATCATTAAGTGATATAAGGGATACCAGAACACAAGCACTAAAATCATGACGTCTGTGAAAACTGAGATAGCTACTAAGTGACTAACCAGGAGGGTAGTATATGCAGCATGAACACACTGAATAGAGGGATGATTCATGTCCCGGGTCAGGCAGAGTGGGACAGCTGCTCAAGATTACATTATACCACTTAGAACAGCACACAGTTTAAAATTTATGAGTTGTTTAAATCCATGTAAATTCTTCAGTTAATATGTATGGACCACAATTAACTGTGGGTAACTGATATAAGTGCAGTGGCACCTGCCTGTCATCCCAGCGGCTCTAGAGACTGAGGCAGGAGGATCATGGGTCCAAAGCCAGCCTCAGCAAAAGCAAGGCACTAAGCAACTCAGTGAGACCCTGTCACTAAATAAAATACAAAACAGGGCTAGGGATACGGCTCAGTGATCAAGTGCACCTGAGTTCAATCCCTGGTACCCACCCACCCCCCTGCAAAAAACCTGTTGGTAACTGAAACCTTGGAAAGTGAAACTATAGATGTGGGGGGTTAGTGTAATCAGAAATTCTTGACCTAGCCAGAGCTTCCTCTTCCTCCTTCTCTTTCTTTCCTCACCTTCTCCCCCATACCACTCCCCTTTCTAAGAAGCATCCCCTCCCAGGGCCCACCACTGACTCCCACTGCTCTGAGCAGTTTTCTGGGGTCTCATGCTCAGGCATCTGAAGCTAACTGTCTATTCCAAGTGAGGGTCTGGACATCCAATCTTAACTGAATGTGTAAACAACTGGAAAAGTGCCCTTTCCACCAGAAAAGGCTGGACAAACATAAGTGACTGGCTTATTGCTTCTTCCAGAATGAGATCAGGGCAAACAATAAACCTGAAATCTTCAGGAAAAACAAGGTGGGGCTCTGCTGTCCTGGCACAAGTGCTGCCACCACACTATAGAAACAGGCAAGCTCAAACCAGGAAATTCAGAAACTGCTCAAGTGTGAGCTAGTATGAGAACAAGAAGCTCAGAGACTCGGAGGTAGAGATGTTTATATCTTCTTCCAGGCTTTTCTTCCAGGAACCCCCGCAAGTGCCCACAGGGAAGACAAGACTGGAGAGAATTCAGAGAGAGCAGATCCCAACATTCCCAGTTGGAAGAGATGGCAACCACTATCAAACTCCACCCACATACCCCCTCCTCTATCTCCCCAAAGGTGTAAAAACCCTAATTTGCTTGGGAATTGCATCATCTGGTAGTTGAGGGTTCTGGGGAAACCCAGTAGCTGGGAGAGGGGAAGAGGGAGAGAGTAGCTCTATGCAGTGGAAGGGTCAGGAATAGAGCAAGTCCTTGCAGACAGTCTGGCTAGAGGCCTGGTAATTCCAAGTGTCTAGTGCACCAGATTCCCATAGCAACCACAAACCTGAGCACAGGTGACTTCTGACTAGATTTACATAAACCCTCCAACTAGTGCCTACAGAAGTTAAGATACGGCTCATCTCCAATCTTAAAAACTACTGACCTCAGAATCTACTCAGAATCCTATAGAATGTGTGTGGCTTTTAACAAAAAGTTACAAAGCACACAAACAGTCAAGAGGAAACACAAAATATGAAGAGACAAAGCAATCATCAAAACCAGGTGACAGCTGTAATAGTTCCTGCTTGGTGGATCTGGACCCTGGGCAACGGACCCATCTCCTTGTATATTTTGGATACAGTAGCTTTCCAGCGGTGACACAGCCAACAACTGCCAGAACTTTCCTTGATCTGGATACAGGCTGAATAAAATCTGTAACAGTCAGAAACATCTAATGACAGATTTAGATATGAGAGCAACAGGATTTAAGTAATTTTGATTACTGTTAAAAATAGAGATATGATGGTGATGATTTATGCATCCAAATTTCACCAGCTTACTCTGAATAGCTTTTTCTTAGATATTAAAATATTCTCATTCGTTATATGACGCTCAGCTACAATGGGCCTTGATTATCGATATTTGCCAGCTTTTAGGATTAAATATCCAACATCAAAATTAAATTGTCAAAAGTGAGTAACTATGGTTTGCCCATGTAGGAGAGCAGAAGAATGTGGTCTCTGTGATGGTTATAACGTGTATTTGTGAAATCTGCAAAGAACCTGAAATGCCATCAGAAAGTATTGACAGAAAAATGACACATTATAGAAGTTCAAAACAGATTTTTCATATTCTATTTGAAAGTGTCCACAAATCACAAAATCTGCAATTCCCAAAATAATGCTGAATAGTAGACACCAAGCTCAAGTTAGCTCCAGAGACCAAGGCAGACCTGGCTCACTCTCATCGTTGAAATCCCAGCACACCTTCCAGGCCTTGCCGAGAGAAGCTTCACAGCCACACAATTGTGTGAGTAGTGAATACAAGGGCACAGAGGTGGCAAAAATAATAATAATAAAATCATGAAGTTTTCAGAGTTCAGGGTAATTGTTTTGATTCATGCAGAGGTCTCCTGTCTCTGGACACTGCTCCCTCATAGGTTTTAGGAGTTGATTGCACTTGACTCATTGCAGTCATCATGCACCACCCTTGCTGACTACATGTCACATCCAAGAGGAGCAGATATATAGTCATGCACAGGGGAAGGACAGGCTTCCCTTGCCACCCTAGTCCACCACCCCCATTTGCCTTCAGCATCTCCTTCAAACAAAGTTCAGAAAAATGGGCAAAGAAGGACAAATGATGGATCCCGCACCTTAGATCCTCCCGCCACCCAGCCCAAGGAACCTAGGAAGCCAAATCCACCCAACAAGCCTCCGGCACTTTCACTGACCCCACAGAGGGCTAGGAGCCGCCATGATACTCACAGAGCACACCACCACAAAGACAAACAGACCCGTGACTTTCACCCACTGCAAGCAGCGCCTGCAAGAGAAAAGGCGGGACGTGAGCAGTACGTGGCCGCAATCCTGTTTGCGAGTGGACAGACCTGACCAACCTCAGCTGCTTTTCTGATGCCCTGAGTTATCTCCATTGGAAATCATGCATCGTGACTTCTTTCCATAACATGGTATGGAGAACTCTGGGCCAGGAAACCTACTGCCTCATCAGAAAGGGATTGGTGGAGGCACAAAGAGATCAGTGTTAACCCTGAGCATTTGCACACATCTTCCAGCTCCTGAAAATAATGCTCATGATTTGGGACTCTTTGCTAACCTTCTGAAGGCTCCAGTTCTGGTTTTCTGTTTTGTTTTGTTTTTTCTTTTTTTCTGACAAGTTAATTGAGTTCCTTATCTTGGCTCTTCAATTCACATTTATCAATTAGTTTCCCTTATGTTTTCCAGAAGGTAGAATTATAGATTTACCATCAAATATAAAAACAAATAATTTGAGAAAGAAATTGCAAAGTTGTGACTGATTTTATTAGCAAGATCTTTTCAAGAATTCGATAGGCGATAACTTGACAGGTCACATACTCAGCCCAACTGAGGGTTTCCAAAGTTGTTCCAACCCTGTCACTATCACCCTCTTCATAACTGTGGCCCCCAGACCCTACATGAACTTGAACTCAGTCTGCCCTCTGCAGCCCCACAGTCCATCAGCTACAACCATACCACAGGAGCTTTACCTCACCAAGATCCTCCCTGGCTGCAGTCTTCATCTCTGCTCATTCAGCCATGGATCCCATCTCTTTTTATTTTTGTTTTATTTATTTATTTTTGTAGTTGTAGATGGACAAAATGCCTTTATTTTGTTTTTATTTTTATTGTGGTGCTAGGCAAGCTCTCTGCCACTGAGCTACAGCCCCCACCCTGCATCTCATCTCTCATTTTTTTAATATTTATTTTTTAGTTGTAAATGAACACAATACCTTTATTTTTATTTATTTTTATGTGGTGCTAAGGATCGAACCCAGGGCCTCACATGTGCTAGACAAGTGCTCTACCACTGAGCCCCAACCCCAGCCCTGCATCCCATCTCTTTATGGCACTATTGCTTGCTCTCTTGCCAGTTGCTGTGCTAGGGCAGTCACTGAGGTGGTGTGTTTGCTCTGTCTCTGCACGAGGAAGTGTACTGGCACAGAGCCTATACCAGCTATATGTTTGCAGAAGAAAGGGAGAAGATCTGTGTTGGGACATCTTTTTTCTTCCTCTCTTCACTGAGTTGAGTTCCACACTTGGAAAAATCTGATCCTTTGAAAACGGTAAAGTCTTATTTTGGCATTCTCTTAGACTTAATGAATTTGATGAATAATCATTTCATGCTTCCAAATTATGATTCAACAGCTCCCACTTAAATAGGAATCAAAATGACATTTCTTTTTAAAGAATGAAGCATTAATTGAGCCATTCTAGACACAAATTTCTTTCTACATAACTGACATGTACAGCAGAGCTGACAATCCACAATAAAATATTTTTTACAAGTTTCTTCACTAATCTAGCCCAGCACTTTCTAGACATATTGTTAGCCACTTTCAGGGACAATAACCAGTTCTTTCAGGAAAAAGGGGCTGCCCTTCTAAATGACTGTGCATGTGTCTCTAAAGTTGTTTTGTTGTTGTTGTTTGTTTGTTTGAACATGGTCTCCAGAGAAACTTACAAGGAACCAGACAAAATCAGTGTCATTCTGACCCAACCCTTTCAGGTGACCTCGAGTAAACTTTGCTCATTATAATATTAAACTCTGCACCCTAAGGCATTCCTACCCACCACTTTTTGAACATTTGATACATGAAGAAACATAATATCAAATTGAACATGTTCAAAAATGTACCTACCTCTACATGTGATGACCAGTCTTTTTTTTTTTTTTAAGTTTCCCCAATAAAAACCCCTGGCTTTGTTTGCTCAGGTGACACCATGACACCTTGCTTATAAGTAATAAAACTATCTCCTCTATATCCCTATCTCTTTTTATTTTTTATTTTGAGACAGGATCACAATAAGTTTCTCTAGGCCTCATTAAGTTGTTGAGGCTGGCTTTGAACTTTCGATCCTCCTGCCTCAGTCTCCCGTGTTGCTGGATTACAGGTGTGTGCCACCATGCCTGGCCTATCTCCACTCTTACCTCTTGGTTGTACTTATTGGCTTATGTTCACCAAGAAGTGAACTCCTTGCATTCAGTTACAATATTATAAAATACGATACTAACATCCTTTAGTTCCATATCAAGCACAAGGCAACTATTCCAGGAATCACAGAGAATAAAACCACCATTGAAAGTCAAGTCTCAAATGTATGGGATTCTATTTATCTAAATTGCGAGGCAGTTGAGAACATGGCATCCTCTCGAGCTGTTAGCCAGCGGGGAAAACACATTAACAATGCTAGGGTTGACCCTTCTCATAACCCATGGGACTACATTACCATTCACATTAATTTCATGATTTACATAATTTCAGGGCAGATTCATGAGACAAATTTTTGCTGCACCTAGGAGAAGGACTGAGACCACTCCTGGTGAAGAAGCTACAAACAAGTAGGAAGCCTGGTGGAAAGAGACAGCTCCATGGTCAAGCAGCCGTGGGCGGACCTGGGATCTAATCCCTGCTCCAATCTTGGTTCACAATCTGAGTGACCTTAGGCAAAATCCTTACCTTCAAGATACTCTCCATTCACCCCCAGGAATGTTGCCAGTAAGATAACTGAGTAACAGTTCCAGCGAATTACAAGGGTTTGAAAGTGGCCCCTGTGGGCACAGGTAGGTGCACTTGGGGCAAGCACTTGAGTGCATTTCAATTCAGCCCTGAAAGGATCTTCAAAAAGGACTTAATCCCCAAAGGTAGTGACATAGAAACAGCAAATCATGCACGTACCATCTTACTGTTAGCACGTGGAAGGCCAGAGAGCAAAGGGACACTAGGTGACAGAAGGCAGTAATATGACCACATATGGCTCTACCAGTCATTCAGTTATTTCAGGTCAGATCCAGAATTGGGACCACTGATTCTCACTCCTAAGTCTTGTTCTGTCCCAGGAGATGATGCTTTTCAAACAGGTTGATCTCAAAAGAGCCCTTTCTCCAAATAAATGTGTGCAGGGGGAAAAGCCCAGCAAATAAAACTGTTAGAGTGAGGGCGCTCCCACAAGGGCAGCACCTGTGGCTGTTGATGTGAGTGACTCAGAGATCCTCGTTCCCCACACCTGCGTCGGCCGTCCACTCGCGCACACACACATGCAGCCTTAGGCTCCCAGCTCCCACTATGCAGGAGGCCACTGCATCCCTCAGGCTGCACCATGCACTAGACCCAAACCTTCATGATAACCACAAAGATGGTATCAAATTCTGAAACACCAGCCCCAGGCACTCCTGAAGTGAATCGATTCTATTTACAAACCTAAAAGCCATGAAGACCCCGAACCCCGCAAGCAAAAGGTAGAGAGTATAGGATGTGGGTCATTTATGTTTGTCATCCGCCTCAAGGGCTGCACACCGATTTTTCAGGGCCACTTTAAATGTCCTCCAAGGCCTGGGAGAAAAGTAGAAAACTTTGAAGGAAACCGTGGAGCCTGGCTAAATGCTAAAAGCCATGCTCCTCTTCACCCTGTCGTTTTAGAAGACTTTAGTGGGGGTGAAACCCCTGCTTTGTCCCATGGCAGTGATCCCACTGCCAGAGTTGGCATCCACCTACCTCAGTGTGGACATATGGACTCTGAGGTGGGTGCTGTCCGGAAGCTCCCCCTTCTCTGAGGAGGCAGATGTAGACAAACCAGCTGCATCTCTGCTCAGCAGGTATCTTCGTTCCCACTCAACCGAGCTGTTTTCCCAAGATTCGTCAGTGGTGATGAACTCTGAGGAGTAAGCAGGCATGCACCGAGACCTGGAAAACGAGAGCTTGGTAGTTATTTTTGCTTTGTTTTGCCTTTTTTTTTTTGGTGTGTGTGTGTGTGTGTGTACAAAATGATAAAGTCAATTCCATGTCCTGGATATTTAGTTCAAAAGTACGTATTAGTTTTAACTGCAAAGGCTGCAAAGGCTGCCTCAGAGCCTCTTCACCAGCATAGAACTCAAAACCTTTTCTAGACCCAGGTGCTCTGGAGGAAAAGCAAAACAAAAAAAGCCAACAAAATAGCCAACAAACACAGAAAGGATCAACTGAAACTAGCTGTGCCCCCAAAACGCTCAGAAAGTCATGTTATTTACATGAAATAATGCTGGGTCTGTTTAGGATGGGAAGTGAGGTGTAGGATCCAATCCTTCTGCAGTGATGATAACAAGAGTTCTAGTCCTTCCCCACTTTCTCTCCTTACTTCATGGCAGTATTCATCATCCATTTCCAAAGCTCCCACCAGGTGCTGATCCAACTTCATCACCCACGTCCCTCAACTTCAGTTCAATTGAACACAGTTATTTGGGGAATGAAGGCATAGGTTAGTGCCAGGGAGGGGGTTGGAAACTTGGGAGAAACTTTCTCAGCACAATGTGGTTATTTATTCTGAAATTGCACCAGCAAAGCCAGATTTCCTCTCAGTGGTGAGGTGTGAAATGTCATAGAACCAACCCTGATCTTCAAAAGAATCAAGACGTGAGGCACTTGCTCACTTTGGTGGAAGGAATGGATCTCTTGACATCACAGGACACTTGGCTCAAAGGAAATCTCCAGGAATCACTCAGGCCTTCAAAATGAATTGTGGGCCTTCAAGAAATATCAGTCTTTTTTGATTTGGGGAATCTTCTAATACAGCTGTTACTGGCTCAGACCAGTTCCCACTTGTTTCAATATTTGTCTCTCTCTGAATGGGCTTGATCTCTCAATACCTAGATCCGTTATACTTGTCCTGAAGCAGAGTTGAGTGGTGTGAGCTTTTCCTGCTCTGTGTATATCTTTCTGAAATGAAGCTGTGGGGCAAGTAGTCTACCTGGATTTCCCACACAATATCCAAGGCAAAATGAGCAGGAATGAGCAACATCAGTATTTGCTAGACAGGTCCATGAATGGGGTCTATGTTTAGAAAGACAAACCAAGGGGAACTTGTTACAAAATTATAGGTGCTCACATCCATTTACATAAATTGGTTGAATCCCTGGTCTTCTGAACAATTCCCTCTGTACAAGTGCACCTGACTCTCAAGAGGCTGTACAAAATGCCAAGGATGTTCATGCAATGCAGAGAATACACATGAGATCACAACATCACCATTAATGACAGCTGCAATCTGTTGTTACATGTTAGAAAAAAGTGAGGATGCTCAAACCCAGCTAACTTAACAGAGTATTATGATTTTCCTGAATATGTATCAGAGCTTTAGAACTGAAAAAAATTATATTCAAAAGGAGAAGCCCCAAGATGAAAATTAGATTGTGTAAAATCAATATGTAGTGAGATAACAAATGACTGAAAATTGTTAATATTTTCTGTCAATTTTATGAATAGACAATGTTCAGGTATGTGAAAAATAATTTCTCTCTCCTCTTAACTGCTGAAGAAACACAACTGTAACAAAACTGGAACTAAGAAAGTGCTTTCTTATAAATGGAAAAAACAAAGCAAGTTAATTTCAGTGCTTTCATATATATATATATATATATTATATATTATATATATATTATTAGTTATAGATGGACACAATGTCTTTATTTTATTTTATGTGGTGCTGAGGATCTAACCTAGGTATACTCTCTACCTCTGAGCCATAACCCCAGCCCAATGCCAGTGCTTTCTAAAGTGGTGGTGTGCACTAGAATTTTCTGCGGAGATGGAAACATTCTGTTTGCCTAGGCCAGTAGCCAATTGCTGTTGGACACTTGAAGAATTGAATTTTTAATTTTGTTTCAACTTAATTCATTTTAATTTGAATAACCATGTTTGACGAGAAGCCACCATGTTGGTCGGTGCCAATGCAGGGCAAACTCTGACCCTGTACCACTGAACATTCCTGCCCTCGATATGCTGAAAAGGACACATTTATTTCTGAAAATATGTAAATCAATGGATGTTATCTTGATTAAAACTGCCACAAAACTGAGTAAAAGTAAAGCAGCAGAAAGACCTTCCCACAACCAATACTTTAGTGAGCTTCATGCAAAAGCTCTAAGCAAAGCTGACCCGTGTTCTGGCCTCTGATGTGAGGCCCAGTTAACACCCCAGAGCATGTCTCTGTGTCCCACATGCTCATTGGTTTTCCAGTGAATCATAAATTCTAAAATGTCTCAGGCCTTAGCTGTTTACTGGATAATTCAAGAGAAAGCATTAAAGAAAGAGATGTATGAAGTTTGTTTTTCAAAGATACGGATTAGGAGAGACAGGGACAAGAGTTATCCCACCCCTCCCCCAAAGGGAAGCTTTAAGAAGATGGGTCAGTAGAAATGCCCACCACCCATCTATCACTGAGGGGCTGGCAGCAGGGGGCATACTGTGTAACAAGATGTGTAGGGAACCAGGGGACACCAAGAAGTGTCTCAGGATTTCTGAAAATTGCAGAAAAAACAGGAGTTGTGACCTAGCCAACCCCTCATCCTAGAGGGAGTGTCTCTGCACATTATCCTCCAGGTTAGCTCTGCTCAGACAATTCTAGAGCTACCCAGGTTTGCCTCAGAAAAGACCTTCTGTCTAGCAGGAATGAAACTTTCTTGTGAATCTTACATACAGGGTTTCTCAACTTCATTACTATTGACATTTGGGCTGGTGGGACGGTGTGGGAGGGTTACCTGTGCATCACTCTGACCTCTGCCCTTCAATGCCAACAGCACCCCAGCTACCAGTGTGATAAACAAAAATGTCTCCAGACAGTGTCAACCTCACTCCTGGCTGAGAAACCCCAGTCTCACATGGGCTCAGTAATCATTGTAAGGTTATGCTTCAGGTCATTTGGGAATTCCTAAGCCACAGATATAACCACCAGCATGAGGAACATCCATTACAATGATGTATCGAGGATCTGATAGAGATCAAATGTCAAGTAAAAAGTTAGAGCTCAGGAAGAAATTTTCCACCATAAGTGCCATGGACATTGCCCAAAGAGTTCTTACATTCTTAAGAAGAGAAACAAAAATCTCACCCTCTGTCTTGTGAGGAATTATGCAGCAATGGAGTATTTTCTGTAATGCAGGGGTCTTTAGAACTGGAGCTGAAGAACTGAAGAAAAGGAGATGCGGACCTGAAAATGACAGGAAAGGAACCAGAATCAGCAGCACAAAACAATGGAGGTGTCCCCAATAACACGGAGCAAGATCCAGCCAAAAATCTGCCCAAGATTCAGCAATAAATTGTACATGGAATTTTGACCCAAAAGAAGTTCTATCTGAATTGTAAAAATCTAGAGTTTAGGAGAGACAATTAGAATTTTTCTCCAGCCTAACCAAAATGCAAAAAAAAAAAGCAGAAACTCTCTCAGGAGACCGGATGCTATGGGATTCACACTTTCAGGTTAATGTTAGCATTGACAGGAGACTCCCTCCACATTGGACTTTCCATGCAGAGCTTTCCATCAATATAAGCATTCAATCCGATGGGCCCATTTATATGCCGATAATTCTATCTCCAGAGAACACAACATATTCACGTGAAAATGTCCTAATGGCTTCTACTGGAAGACCAAGTAGCAGAAGTCAGGGCCAACTGGTGGAAATAAAATGGTAGCCAGAATGGCATGGAGGAGTCTCGCAATGGGCAGCAGCCACAACTGAGGCAAAGCCCTGGGAGGATGCCCCTCTGCTACACTGGCCTGTCTACTCAAAGAAAGGCTGTGCCAAAAATGTTATCATCCAAATAAGGAGCTTTGTGAAAGGGAAATGATTGTGCAGATGCAAGTGCACCACCAATGTATGGCTGTTCTCATTAAAGGACACATGATGTTTTATGAGAACATGTAGAAACCATTTTCACTCCTAATCATTGGGAATATGTTACTTTATACACTGATATACTACCTTTCTTAAATAGCCCAGATGATATAAAGATGCTGTGGGTGCCATGAATCACTCACATAGAGAAATAACAGTCATTCCTTTGGATCATAAATGCACAAGGAAGGGATTATAAGAAAAATATTTCCACTATTTTTCTCATTCAAGCATTCATTGGTGACAGACAGTAAGACTCTGGTTTTGTGGATGAGTGAACACCAGGCCACTGAGCTGTGACTAACAGCACCCACCGTGTCTCCAGGAAGACAGAAATGGAGTCTATTCGAGGTCAGCATGAGTCCCCTTGGCACTATGTCTGGGCTGCCTATGGCCACTTTCGATGGAGAACACAGATGACAGAGAACTCTCTGCTCAGGGGCCTTCCTAGCCAGTAAGGGGAATGTGAAGGGACAAAGGCATAGAGTAGGTGCCTTGATTTGGGCAGATGAAGGAAGGAAGGTAGAAGAATTTTTGCCTAAGAAATTTAATAATTAGAGTATTTTTAACAACTCAAACTGGCTTATGCAATTAGTTGAGTCTACTTCTCCAATCTCCGATAATTGTAAATCTAGAAGGGCTTCAGGTATCTTTAGAAAAATGTATCCATGAGTCAACAAATATCTAGGTATTTTCTGTTGCTCCCAGGAATGGTTTAATGCATGGTATTACTGGGAAAGCCCACTATTTCGAAGACCTTGATCATATTATTTAACTACCCTATGCTTCCATTTCCTCAACTGTGTCATATAGATTTAGAGAAAACAACACACACACACACACACACACACACACACACACACACACAGCCATCAGCTTTGATGCATTAAATAAGAGGTAAATGTAAAAGAATGAGTTTGATTACTGATGCAATTATTTTCATTAGACTGTGAGTTTCTTATGAATGGCCGCCATGTTGTTTTTATCCACCAATGTAGGTTCTTAATGAATATTTAATAATGAATGGTTTAAAACCCAGGAATCATGACTTATTTGGCTGAGAATGACTTTTTGACTCAAACAAAACAGTTTTTTAAGCCATTACAATGTTCTTAGAATCACCATTGTCCCTCTGAAGAGTGGTTAATGCAGTGCAGGTTCCTTGGAAAGCCTAACCCTGAGGGTCTCAGAACAGCACAGGGCAGCACCATATTACACAACACACAGGATTTGCCTTCTTGCCATTAAGGAGGAAATTTGGAAATGGGGGAAGGGTCCAAAGTCCATTTTATTCTCTCTGCAGTGGCCACATGTAGCTGATTTCATTATTGCTTAATATGCTGTTGTACTTTGTAACACATAGTATTTTATGATTGTAGTTGAGCATTATGAAATGGTTTCTAAACTATTTTACATAGTTATATTATTTTTCTAAAAAGCTAAAAATAAAATGAGTTTCACCAGGAAATTTCCCAAGAGACTTCAGGCCATTCAAAATTTAAACTTGACACCACCCTGATAGTATTTCTCACTGTCTCAAATTCATTCTTCTTCCCAAAGAGGAGAGAACAGAGGAATCTCTCTTTGGGTCCTGTTACTTGGCAGGATCCCGGACCTGCATCCTGGAACATAAACTAAGCATAGAGGAGACTCAGGATGACCCAGAATACACATTTCAGAGCTTGGCAATAAAAACTACAGTCCACAGAGCTGAAAGCCTGGCCTGTTTCCTTTGGCGTAATTAAGGGAGAAAGTAGTGATGAGGTCTATATTATTCCTGACCTTTTCTCTTCTGAAAAAAGAAATCCCCTTGACATTTTTCTGACTTCACATCTGTGTGGTTTCATAAATTTCAACAGTGTCTGGCTCCCTCATGTCTCAACAAACTCTGTACATGCATTTTCAAAATTCATCCATGCCCATAAACTTACAAGCAGGCAATATTTATTTTGAATAATTTGGAAATATAAAAAGAGGATAACAAATTAAAAATTGTATGTAATCCCATTTTCCAGAGACACCCAAAGCTAACATTTAAAGAACTTGCTTTCAGGGTTGTTGTTGTTGTGTTTATTTTTCCTACATAGAGTGAATATTTTTCTAAGTCAGGTGTATCTATGGATCTCTGCCTGTACGGACACACATTCTCATACATAAGGTGTTTTTCTTCAGAGTTTTCAACTTAGCCATCTCATTAGCATTTCCTATGTTATTTACTATTCTTCTACAACATGATTTTAATGTTGATCATCATATTCCTTTATATGAATTGCCACATTAAGCTTGACAGTCCATCTATTGATGGAGATTTGGGAGATTTCTGGGTTTTTATTGAAGTAAGTAACAAATGCCAAGAGTACTGGTAATTAAGTTTGTGTGTGCCTCTGCCTATTTCCTTAGGATTGATTCTTAAAAGTAGAGTCATGGGTCTAGAATTTTCTTGGACTACCATCCTCTTGCTGGAAGAAAGCCTGTCTCTAATATTGTAACTTTTGGTTACAGGCAAGAACAAATTTTTATCACTGCCAGTCCTGGTATTAGCTAAGATTTAAATCCTCAAGCAATAAGTTTTAAAGACCTAGAATAATATGATCCAACCCCACCACTGTCAAGGAATCCTGCTGCCATGAAAATTAGGAAGACAAGTTCATGCCAGTCTGAGAGATTCAGCTTGTTTCCCATACCTCTGCCACAACTCACCTTCAACAGTTTCCTCATCCCCAGACCTTCCAGTTCTTTCTAGATCCAAATACTTGACAACCCTATGATGCTCATGCAATATTACTGAAGAAGAAAAGTAACCAAAACTGTTGCAGATATGAAGCACCTCATATATTAACACTTCTGTGAGAATTTACATTTTTAAAGACCAGAAACGAGAATGGTTAGCACAAAGGACAGTTTGGGGAGGTGGAGGCTGGGTATCAGAGGCGGAGGAAGAGGTTGGCTCTCAGTCTCTCTCAAGCACTGTGGCGTATAGGCACCACAGACACGGCCATGGCTGAGGTCAGCTCTGCTTGGCAGTGGGACACTGAGCCGGTAGCACAAAATGAAAAGTGCGATCTCTACTCTGATCTGTGTGGCAACCAAACTCATATCCATGTACTTTCCTAAGGATGTCTCCAAGCTTCCCTGAGGAAACCCAAGAG